AGATAATTCGGTCAAGACTCCAGTTTAAAAACCTAGCTGTCGTAAGTGAAATGGCTTCTCTCTTACTTGGGTTCTGCAAAGGTCCTCGAATGTGATAAGGTTCCCTTCCTGTCTTTCCTGCGTCTTTTTCAATGTGCATTAAAACTTTCCATTGCAGAACAACTAACAGAATCAACAGTGTGTGTTCCCGAAATAACTAGCCGTTTTCAATAGAATTAGCGTTTGAAAAGATACAGAGAACTCTTTTCTGTTTCGGAACCAATGATTGTTTCCCCTTGCAAGAGGTTCCATTGTGTCAAATTCACAAAGGTGAAAACATCAACGTGTTGAAGTGCAAATTTGCTTCAAGTGTACTAAGAACAACGTCTTTTCCTACTATAGCGTTTTATTGGCGACATTACACACAGCCTTTTGACTGGTGACGAGGAAGATGCTGCAATGAGTCGCTTCCAGACCGTTTTACAAGAGATCTCGGATTCCATCAAGGCCCGCAATGAGTCTTTGGAATTGCCTTACACCTTTCTGTTGCCCGAACGAATTCCCGATAGTATTGGCGTCTAAAGCGCTGACAGTATTTGAGGATTTTTTTCTCAAAAATATCACACAGCGATTTTTGTGTGTCGTTCAGCACGTGTCGTGCTGCAGAATGTTTGACTTTTTCGTAATGCACACCTTAAAACCATAACTTAGCTCTCGTTAAATGTGGAGAGGGTTTGTAGCAGTAAAAGAATATCTTTGGTATGGCAGAGACAATCAGCTTATTATTCGTTCAATTTTGTAGTGTAGTTCTGTGCGTGATCTCAGAATAGAAGTTGTTTTGTAAAACTAAAACAGTCACATTTTGTAAGGTTCCTCTTTTGAGAGGAGCGTTAGAAGCAGTAGTTGTCTTCTATTACAATCGTCATGTCCTAGTCATCCATTATTCAAATTTTTCAGGTAACTTGTTTTTCACCATTTAACTTTCATCAGTGAACAAGACAGAATTTCTCCTTGTAATGTCAATACTGATGAGTAAAGTGATGAGAATAAAGAAAAATTTCAGTTACGAGATTATAAGTTGATCAGAACCAAATTCTTCAAACTAACAACTAACACAAGAGCTGTACAGGAGACAGTAAGGAAAATTACTAATGAGATCTTGGGAGTTAAAGGGTTAACCTCAAATTTCAAGTTTTATCCTGGTTTGAGCTCTTTTTCCCAAGACAGAGGTTTTTATTTTAAGTTATAATAAAGTTCGGATATAACGCGCACTGGCATTGGTTGAAAGAGCGTGCTCTATGAGAGTATAGAGCATAGAGCTGAGCTAAAGCTGTCACGCCATCTGCCAAACTGTACTATGTTCGAGCTTTTCCGGGACTTCTTTTTAGCTTTTTTCCGATAATTGAAAGTGAAATTTTGGAACTGAAGCGAGTCGACAAGTAGCAACAGATCAGTAGAAGAATCAAACAAAGGTTTGTGAACATACCAGGCGCCGTAATTTACAGGAAGCGGCTAGAGCACTCCCTACACTTCTTTCGTGCTCTAGCCGCTTCCTGCGTGCTTTATAACAGAACAGAGCACAGCCAAGGCTTCTCTATTTGTTAAGTATAGTGCAGTGGGAATTTATGAAAGGAAGTTATGGCGATAGCATTTGTGAAGACCTAAATCAGCTCGTGACTTTCCAAATTTAATCCACCGTAATCTGCCTTATGTAAGACTGTCAGCTATGTTGCAGCTATTTTCAATGGATTACTCAGAGATGTGAATTATTGGAAAATTCTCGCGTCTGTTTGCTTCGGTGTAATCTTTCGATCTAATATTTGTGTATTTTAATAGACATATATTAGATCGAAATATAAAGTTTAAAACTTTGTATCCGTTGTCTGTTGTTATCATTAAGTTTCCCCTCTAGGTAATGTAAGTTTGATTTCTCGGCCTCTTAAACTCTATTCAGAAAATCCACGACTTATCCTCGAGTCTTAATATAACCTAGTCATGACTCTATCTGGAGGGTGGTTGTTAATCATAGACGACGCTCGCTGTTTATTTGGGTCATCTAAAGGAAGTCGATAACAGAAGCACGGCGTTTAATTATTTTTACAAAAATGAGACCTATGACATGAAAGGTAAATGCGTGGGTAGGAAATGGAGTGACAAAGTGGTGAATTCTCCTCATAATGCTTGCACTTTAGTTTGACATTCTCCTTCGTTTTGGATGCATTTAGCTTTACATAAACTTGATAACAAACCTTTTCAAGAGAAAAAAAATTGCTTCTGTGTGAAAATGTACAATGTCGTTTTAATCATTTGATGACACATTTACTTAGGAAAATCAACAGGATCATTGACATTTGCGAAATTTGTTTTTATATTCTATTTGAATTGTATATTATTTCCTCGTTCTGGCACGCTGTTCAGTTTACGCATTTCTTTTCCTTTCCTGCGGTGATCGTATTTAAGATTGCTGGGGTCGAAAATGATCCATTTTCATTTCCTTTCTGTAAGGGCAAAAATAACAATGCAAGGTTAGGGAAAAATGAATGAGATCAAATGCATAGAAAAGTAATTGACTGAGGAGTTAGATTTCAAGCAAAGTATCCAAGTGCAATATACAGCATTCGAGAAGGCTAAGGAAAGGGGAAAACCTCTCTTCCTATGTCGCCATGCATGGAATTCTCAGGCGTGTGAAGAGAATCCCGTGTGATATCCCCTGTAAATCAGCAACTTTGGTAATGAAAGCTTCAACTTTATTGCTGCGCGCTAATTAGTTTGGTTCGGGCATTGCGCCGAATTTAAACTCGGAAGTCTCTGACTTTCTCCCTCCCTTCCTAGGTTTCTTCACCTTCCCAGGTTCCCTCTGATCATGAGAACGATTGTGCAGGATTCTAAGTGAGTTATACAAGTTAAACGCTAGTGTTCTTACTGTTCGTACAATGAAATACTGCCTATTCCAGTCTAACAAAATAAATGTCACTAGCAAGTCTATGATTTGTTAAAAACCCATCCTTTCTCGTACGGAAAACACAAAAAACTGAAGCATTTTTGGTAAACTTGAAATGACACATGATAACGGCTTACTGTTGTTCAAAGAAACTTGGGAAACATGTGATTCACTTGCTCTCAACTCTTAGCTTACAATTATTTTTCGCGTTCTCCCTATATCCCGAGTTTGTCTTTACGCTTTAAGTTTCGTAAATTAAGTACCATTGGTCCAAACACAGAAGACATAAAAAAAAAATCGTCAATGAATTGTTCTGCAGTACGTGGCTGTCTATTATTCGACTCTATTTTCTATCGCCCTGGCTCAAGAGAGCAGCTGCTCTTTGAGGGAATAGAAAAATAATAAAAGAATGGGAATTCACACCCAAAATAATTACTGTTCTCACTTATTCAATTAAAAATTATTAACTTTAAAATGAATATCGTCAGTTTGGAACAGAATTTAGGATTAAAATTATTTATCCAAATATTACCCCACATTTATGAGTCAAGGAAGTAAAATCGTATCATTCAGAGTTTAAAAATCAATTTATCGTTATAACTGACAAAAAATTTAGATTTTGGTTTTGTTCGTCTTTGAAATCATCTAAATGGATAGGAATGAGTCTTTACAGTGGATTTGAAGTGAATCACATTATTGTTTCCATATTGTAACTTATCTCTTTTTCATGCGTTGTTCCAGTAGCACACAACTGAACTCTAAGACAAATTATGACTCTTCATCGTAAAAAAATAACGGAGGTTAACGAAATTTCTTTCAAACTTCTGCGAATGGCGTTTTGCACTTATATAAGTCTCAATTTATTTTTATCATTTTCAAACACTGTATTGCGGCAAACGATTAGCTAGCTATACGGGCGATATTGATTGATAAATTTTGGACTCTTGAATAGGTAAGAGATTTGGCTTAAATACTTAATTTTAAGTGTGGTGGACATAACTTTATTAAATTAAATTTTATTCACGGCCACCTCAAATGTTTACAATATCCTTCGTTTCCATTTCAGTTTTTTTTTTTTTTTGAGGTAAAATGATTAAAATAAAATTAGAGTGTGTTGAAATTAAAGGAAACTGCGTCATTTTCTGCTATCGTCTTGGAAATCGGACAGACGCCTTAGAAAAACCGTGAATTACGAAGGTAATTCATGAAATTCTTTGCGAATATCACCAAAGAGGGTAAGAAAAGTAAATTTCTAACAATTTATATAACTTAGAGCCTGTCATGTGCTTCTTTAACGGCAAACCAACTTTTTCATTCGAGCAAATTACGCCAGAAGCGCGCGCCCTACACCTAATCGATATAATTATTCGAAAAGCGCTTACTGTTTGAGACAAAATGGAAAGAAGGGCAAAGTTCAATTGTATAATTTCATTTTTAATCATTTAAGTGCTTTTAAAATGAATTTTGATGCAATTTCACTCCCACAACGCTTCCATAGCCAAGAGAGTTGACTCTGTTGAATCAGCACTGACTCTAGGTTTGTTCACCTTATTTACGTATTCCATGTAGTCCATTAGCGTAAGTTACAAAAAATGAAAATGAAATAAAACGATTTTAACTACAATTCTTGAAAATAGTGACAAAAGTGAGTCTAAAATCCAAATAAAAAAGGTTTGCTTTTGGCGAAAGTGATTGTTCCAAACTTGCTTTGAAATTTAAATCGTTACCAGAATGGTTTCAGAAATACGGAGAATCGCGACATGACAGGTACATACATGTTGCAGAAGAGCGAAAAACAAGGCGGTGACTGTCGCACAGATCGATTTTGTTTTTTATATTTGAGTTACTTACCATGTTAGTAATCGTAGAATCTACTGAAGGATCTTGTGTCGTGAATCGGGCCCTCTGAATAGCGGTCTGGTTTTTTGCTTTTAAAATGTAATCCATTCACTATAGTTGGTCTTTTAGTACTCGGCTTTTTCACGTTTGTTACTCTCGGTTTGCTGGGTTTTCTTGGCTTGACGGCTTTGTATTGACTTTTTAACACTGATATTACCTGCTGGCTGTCCTCGACTATGAAGCAAGCTATAAAAAAGCTGATAAGAAGTATCGTGGTAGCTGTCTTCGTATTCATGTTTCCCTTCTGATTCGAGGCGCTACTGTGTTCCGTAAATTTCGACTAAGATTTTTCTGTTTTAAACTGCTGACAATGTGACAAAACGCGACTTTATAACGCCTTTGAAAACTTCCTCCTACTCTCGCCTTTCTTCGTAAGTAAAATAAACCGGAAAGAATCGAGGACAAAAGATCGGTTCAGGTCTCTTGTCGTCAACCACTTTTTCTCGAAAAAATAAAAAAAAATTGCAGGCCAGTATAAAAGGAGACAAAGGAAATTATAGATTTCTTGATAAGCTTATAGTAGTTCTCTACGTAATCTACGCCTATTGTCAAAGTTTCATCATTGTTAGACTATGCCCTTAAGGAAAAACAAGCCTTGGTTTCCGCGGCGACACGTCGGCGAGCGAATATTATTTGTTATGGAATATCGTAAATTATCCTAAGGAAGAAATGACTAATGAGATTAAAGATAACACAGAGAAACCTTCGTAAACAGATGTTAAGGTTTCCAAAGATCCACTCATTAACCACAATGCGAGATATAAACTAGGTAAAGAAGGAAATAGGTTGAAATTAAGTTTTTGCGGACCTGCCTTTGACGTATTGCCTCTCTAATTGTGAGCACGTGTTGTTTTCCCTGCGTCTCCATCGATAAGTAGTTATGGATGTTTTTTATTGTGTCTAGAGCTTTCGTCAACGTTACCATCCGGTTTTAAGAACAGAAGAAATTTTTAAGCATTATTTCATTTACTACACTTGAAAAAATGTCATTTTTTCGTTGGTAAGTGAGTTTTAAAGTTGCATGATAATCCGTTAACACTTGCAATTATTCTATTAGAAATTAATCTAAAATCCATTTGACCCTTCATAATTTAAATCAATTATGCGAGGAGATTTATAAGGTTCAAATTAACGATGACACATAAAATGAAAAATTTGCAAATGCATTGAAACAAGAATGGAGATGGATTCGTTTCCTGAAAAACATACATTTATCCACAGTGTAAAAAATGTGCATTTTAAAATTAGAGTTTTCCGATTAATTTTTTTTATTATTTCTTTCAACAGCAATCCTTCATACATACAATAAGAAAGACTAGATCTATCTTCAAAATAGCTGTTGACCTACAGTATCTTAAATTGTCCAAAAATATCGTCAAAGAGACCGGAGAATCTCATCTATTTCATTAGGAAAATAACAAAACATCTTGGCTTTTTTTAACGTTTCCCTTTTCGAGCATTTATCTTGGAAGCAGTTTTTGTTTTTGTTTTTTCAATTTTATGCAAGACGCTAAGTAGACGGAACCTCCCATTTCTATATTTTCTCATTATTTGAAATTTTTGAAAGGAGCCGACATCAATTGTGTATTTTTAAAAAAGATTATCTGCTTTATATGACAAACAGGCTTCTTAAAACTCGCCGAAACAATATTTCTTGGCGTATCTTGATGAAAAATTTACTTATTATGTTTACCATTTTGCCTAATCACTTTAATTTACTCAGTGAATTAATATTGTGTTTTTTAAGCCCAGGTCGAACAAAGTCAAACTGACTCACATTCAAGATATAAAAAATTAAAGCAGGTATTCTTTTTTTTGGACTCTCTTATTGTCTTCAAAATTGTCTGTTAGGCAATTAAATTAAGATATTTGTAAAATAAGATTTTGAAAATGATAATTGTTCAAACCTTGTTTTCTTACCACCCAATGGGGAATCCTTAGTTCTTTAGTAGCGTCAAACAATAAAATATTCTTGAAAACACCCAAGTTCAACTGTTTTCTTGAAATGATAAGAGGAGGGCAAATCAAAAGGTGCCTAAACACCACTTGAATGGAAACTTTGACGGTCATACGCGTTAAGGTGGCCAAAAGAGAGTTTTCAGTCTCTTATCATCTTTTAACCCATGTACATATACACTTTGAGCTTTTCAAACCCTGATCAGAAGTTCCACGATGTTCACAAAATTGATTCTTACGTCTTCAAGAAATAATCAATGTCATTCTTATTATTTCAGTTAAAAGCCAAGCAAAGTGTTAGTTGTTATGAAATATTCGAATTCGTCGAATGAAAAGAAAAAGTTGTAATAGAATAGGAACGAAAAAAGCGACGCTGAGAGAGAATCATTACACTGTTGGGATGGATGCAGAATTAATTTTACGTGAGGGAATTTGTTATCATGCCTTGTGTGTCAAAGTGTGTCCAAACGACGATTTAAAACCCACTTCTTCTAACATTTTTTTGATTAAATTGGTCAGCATGACTCATACAACAAAGATAGCAAACATAAAATTCACAAAGAATGTTTTATTCAACTAGGACGCTCATAAGACCTTTTTTAATCTTCACGTATCTTCCAGATTTCTCAAGATGCGTTAGTGACTTAAATTTGGTGATCACATATTCTTTGTGATAGCTTGAATGAAAACCCATCGAAATTGCTGACCACAGAACTTAAGCGTTAAGCACTGTAGAGTTCAAATTCATGGAAAGGGGTTAAAAAAAACATAGGAATAGAAACAAGAGATTCTTGTAGTAACCTCACTCTCCGTCTCGTCTTCTAAGTAAATGTAGTGATATTCTTCTTAGAGACTGACGCTATGCTTACCATTGGAAAATTTATGGGCCGTGCTTTTGAAGTTCAAAATAAAATGTGGTCTCGAGGCACATCCTAACAAAGGGGGCTTGTTAATCTAGCCATAAAAGATTTACTGGACGCTAAGTGCAGCCGCAAGTAATTTCTAAAACCGTAATACAAGACTATAAAAGAAAACTACTTGTATAGCATAAAGACACATGGAAGAACATTCTTTTCTACGACAACCGGCAAATTCAACCTTCAACCTTATTTTTTCCCAGTTCACTGAGAAAAAAAATGCCGCGGAGAGTCAATGTGAAATTCATAACTGAGGGCCCTTCTTACAAGAATCGCTGTCGAAATCACGTATTGGTTCAGGAATATTATATTCTTTTAGGGCACTAAACGGATGTTTGGAAACCGAATTAGTGAAAATTTGTTGTTGTTCCCACTCATCTCTTTTTGTGATCATTGTTTATTAAACCTTATTTTGAGAAAGTTTGTGATACTGTCTAGCCACTTCTGGTTAGGACGAAAATGAATACCCAAAATCAATGCACGAAGAAGAGATGTGGAAGTGATACACATCGCCGGAGAAAAAGTAGACTTCTGGATTGCTTGCTAACTCTGGAAGATTAAAAATATCGTAAACAGCGCTTAATAACAGCTGATTTAAGGCACGCTTTGAATAGATCCTGTCTAATTTTGTTTTCTAGGAAGTCGCCCACGAAAATTTCGAGGCGACTTTAGAGCCAATATCCTTAGGCAAACAACTTGAGCTGAAAAGTTTTGATTAAATAAATAATGGTATCGTCGACGTCAACAGGTTTGTTTTTTGTAACTTTTGAATCATTTAGTTCGATTGTTCACTAAACAAACCTGACGCAACAGAACTTCGTTATATATCTCGAAATGCTGCGGGGAAATTACAAATGACAGAAACGTGCACCTCTAAAGAGAGGGCCTTACGTTAAAAGCTTGAATTTCCAAGATACCGAGCTGAAAGCGAGCTTCTGTCAAACATGAAACCGTCATTCGATTAGCACTTTTAAGCCCATTTACAATTCTTTGAGCGTCTTAAAAATGATATAACAATCATAGTAGGATTAGAAAAACTCCTGGCAATGCTATTGAGGTCACCATCATTTCATACTCATTTCGCATCAATTGTTAGATTAATTTTTGGCGAGTCACGTTGAGCGAGCGTGATAAAGCGAATGGAAACAAGGCCAAGAGGCTGAAAGGTATTAGTAACGGAAACAGGAAGGAGACACGCCATCAATCAAAAAGAGCCACGCGCACTCTTAAATTAAATTTCTTGGCCTTAATAAATGGAACACCAGATAAACCACAACTTAATCTATTGTCGAAAATTTTTTGAGGAATTATCAAGTTTTCTTGTGTTTAGGAAGCTTTCTGATATGAAATTCACCTTAATACTGCTATTTACGTACACATGCAATATCATGGTTATAAGAAATCGATCACGAAGATGTCTAATAGATCTTGATAAGCAATCACAAAAACACCAACGTGTCAATATTAGAATAGTCAATTCAATATGATGTCATGGTGTATAAATCCTCAGAAAGTTCCCCTTTTCATTTTGCTTGAGACTCTTTACGAGTAAGGTTATCCTAAAGTTGAGGTGTTTTGCGGCTTTTGAACGGCATACAATTTCTTGCCAACTTCCTCACAGTCAAGGAACCGGCGTTTGAAATCAAAACTTATTGGAGTGAAGGTTTCCGCCAATAAACGCTTTGTGCGATTAACTTAGTGAGATCTCTCTACACGGATGGACTAGCTACTAGTGGCAAAACAATCCTAAGTCGCGTTCCGCCATAAAAAAGGGAATCAGGGATCAGAAGTGCGGCAGTGTAAGCCACAAGGCTTGTGTGCTGACATAACCGGCTAAGGCTTTTAAAGAAAATGCCTTGTTCTTTAAAAGGTTGGTTTGGGTGTTATAAGCTCCATTTTCGTTTGAATACGCAAACATTTCGAAGTGTTTTCGCCCATCATCCGCGCTAAAAATTCGAACACGTCATGAGGAGCAGGTAAACCCTCGAAGGCAGTTTTAATAGTAAAGTCTTTCAGAGATGAATCCCTTTTAAAAAAGCTTCGTTCCTTGAGTGAGCAGCTGAAACTAATAGATGAAGACAAGATTAGAAAAACCATTTTTGGATGAAAATATATTGCTCCGTTTTAGTTAAGACGAAAACGAACACTTTGAAAAACGTACTGGTATGATAAAGGCCTTTAACTTCTTCGCTATCGCAGAGCTAATGAGGAGATCCGTCTCGTCGGGAATATATCTAATAACGCAATATACAATTTCTTTCAGAATGTAATATACATACTGTAAGATTTTACGTCGTTGACTAACGGCGTAAAATCTCTCGGTATGTATAAAGTATACACAGATCAGGTCAGTGGCTTAAAACACCACAGTTTGTAGACTACGTTCATCACATATTACGCCGTTATCTAATTACCACGGCTCGCATGCTGTCCAAAGTGCGAATAGTTAACTTGACAGCCAAAAGGACTCTCGAAGCTTTGCGACAAAAATTCCGGGTTCATGAATGTCAATCGCGTTAACACTCCTGATTTAAGTTGTACGCGGTGATCTCTGCCATTATTCTGAGTATTAAATTATCCTGTAAATA